CAGAGGATCTGAAAACATCATATCATAGTGATATATGTGTGCCTATGTTTATAGCAGCACAATTTGTGATAGCCAAATCTTGAAACAACCAAGATGCCAATCACTTGAGGAATGGTTGAGAAAGATGGGGTATTTTTGTACAAAGGAATATTATTCAGCTATGGAAAGATTCTCACCTTGACTGACTATATATAGTGATACCTGTGAACTAAGCAACTGCACTGCAGATGGTAATTTGTAATAGTAGTTTCATGCTTGGAGTGCCTGTCATTCTGGTCTTCTGAATATGGGCTGCTTGTCATGACATGCCAGTTGCTGCTATGATATCTCTCTGGTATATGGTTGGTTAAGAAGAAGGGGGTGGTGAATGAAAGCAAGCGACAGGAAAAGGAATAATTTGGGACTGTCTTGCTTCAAGGTTGTATATGGTGAGATTTTTGGACTTATGTGTAAACACAAGAAGTATATAATTCGTTATGCCTGTTTTTAAAATATATTCTAATTTTTCAATGTTGTTATCATATTCTGTCGGGACTTAAAGTTCAACCTATCAATACTCAATGAAAAATACCTATTCCATGTTATGCCTAACATGTTTGATATGCAGATAGATAGTGAGGGTAAGCTTAACAGCATAAGTTGTATGATAATAAAAATAAGCTTTTCTTCTGCATGGTTAACAACCTAAGTTTGCAGACCAAAATTAGAGAAGAAGGCGGGCTGCAAAGCCAACATTTTGGCCCTATCCTTCTAAGGTGAATTAAGACTCAGGACATATGATAACCTGTACTTTAACATCATGTAACTCAGAGTGTCGCAAATTTTCTGATCAAGGAGATTATGGGGCCAAAGAGGAAAGTGATAGATCATGTAGAGTGTGCCTAAGGAGAGTCACATGGAGAAAAAGCATTCTCTCAGGATTTCACAGAGAGCACATTGGCCAAGTAATGGCCGTAACTCATCCACATGGCTGACACTGACAAAGGTTCTACAATCTGAGGTACAGGATCTCAGGATGAATCCTGAGGGAATTTCACTGACTTTATCAGACCAAAAGCTACAACTCTTGTTGCATAGGTCCTGCTTTACCTTGGTCTTAACCATCCAGCAGAAAAGTGTAAAAACGAAATAGAAGAAGTAAAGCCATGCTGTTGTGTTGAGGTATAGGGGATTCAAGTCAACAATTTCTGACATTGCCAGTGAAGTAGAGGACCCAATACTCTTATGGGCTACTAGACTCTTTTAGAATGTTTTATTGAGTTTACACACCTATAATATTCAAGTAACGGAACTTAACAAAAGGCATACAGATGAATGTCCATTTTGTATTTGTGTATTCAAAGTGTTTATTATAGATATATAGATACATTCTCTTAATGAACAGAGCGATTTGTTCTAATGGTGTTTGTAAATAGGATACCATATCCACATCTTGTTCAGCATTTAACTACTAGGAAGAATGTATGCAAATTGTGAATTATTGAAACTGTCCTACCAATTTGATTTGAAACTGTCTCCATGCTATTTGTTTATCAATAAAATTATGGGGGAAAAAGAAAATGAAAAGCCAAAGCAAATTTGCTAGTTAAGCTATATCAAGAAGATATGTTAAGAAGACACCAGAAAATTTTGTACAATACATGGATCATTTGTCAAGCTCTCTTTAGAACAGAAAGTTGGTTTTATTTACTGTATCTAATTTCTCAAAATTTTAACTAGTCGGGCATGGTGGGGCATAGCTATGATCCCAGGACTCAAGAGGGTGAGGCTGGAGGATCACTGAGAGTTCAAAGCCAGCCTGGACTACAAATTGACACCCTATGTCTAATAACTAAAAAAACACTGTAGCTATTATGTTAAAACTAAAGAAGTTACTAGTATGTTAGGCATGAGAAGCTTTTTCTTATCACTGTGGATTGGAGGTTTTCTAAGAAAGTCTAGGTTTCCTGGCTCAGGGAAAAGGCTCATTCAAAACTTAGTTTTGTATGTTTGGTCCTCTCCTTATTTCATGTACTGTATACCCTAGTAGTGTCTCAGATACAAAATTAGAGTTGAAAAAAAAATGATCTTCTTAAAGAATTCTCAAAATATTTTCTCAGTCTTTCTTCCTAATGATTAGTTCAGTAATCCCTCTTGAGCAGAGGCCATTTATCTTAGAACTATAACTAGACAGAACATAGATGGGTATATATGTGACATAGAGACACAAACAGCCAGAAAGAATAATGTTGAGCGAACATCAGAACTCCAAGATGGCTTTCGTTGTACCACTGAAAGAGAAGAGACTGTTGGATGTGAAAGTAAGGGAGCTGCCTAGCTGCATACTGATGTGGGATTTCTCCCCCACGGGTATTGCTGGAGCATTTCAGAGAAGTTACAACCGGTATTACAACAAGTTCATCAATGTGAATAAAGGGAGCATCGTGGGGCTGCAAATGGTGCTGGCAGCCTACGTGCTTTTCAATTACTGCTTTTCTTACAAGGAACTCAAACACGAGCAGCAGCATAAGTACCACTGAGAAGGGGCCAGTGTGGAGGGAGGGCACACTCCATAGTGTAGCCTGTGACTGCCCTGTCTGGCTCCTGTCTGTGAACAGCTTAATCAAGGCTTAGTTTGTTCATAGCCTAAGTGAGAATTAATGCTCAATAAAAGGTGATCACTAAAAAAAAGAAAAGAAACAATAATTTTACATTAAATCCTTATTCAAAATAGATATTACAAAATCCTCACAGGAAAGCATGCGGATTTGTATAGAATCATTAAAACGATAAAAATTCCTCTAAAAAAAATAAAATAAACCTACTTGAGTTTAGGGAGAACATCCTCAAAAAAAAAAAAAAAAAAAGCTATGCTAACAACACTAATAATTCACAGTTGTTTTTATCAAGTCTAAATTATTGAGCTAATATTTTTTACTAAGGATTTACCTAATGTTTTTGAAGTTAAATTCTTAAAACATTTACATGTTGCTTTTGTTGTAAGCAGCTGAGGTAGATAGAAACATTATAGGCAGTCAGACAGGTCTAGGCCATCAAGGAGCCAGTATGGAAGACAAGATACCTTGCAACTGAGGGAGAGAAACATTCCAGCTGTGGGCCAGACCTTAAGACAGAAGATCAAAGAAATGCTTACCTCCCAAAGGATAAACATCAGAGATTGATGTTCTAAATACATACATTTCTTTCACCTTGAGAAAGTCAGAAAGAGTCATCAATCCAACTTGCTTCCTGATTTGATCTCAGTTTAATCAGTTTTCCCTAAGCAATTATGTTTGTAATCTTACTGGTTGACCATAGTTTTATCCCACCTCATGCCCATCTTGTCAGTTTCCATGTTTTCCACCTTGTAACCACCTCACCTCATGGTTTTACTGTATAAAACTCCTAGAAAAGGTATAGTCCTTGGCAACCCACTTGGGTCCTCTTCTATCGCTCTCTCTGATAGTTTTTTTTTTCTTTCTTTTAGTAAATATATTATGCTCTTAATTCCTGTTCCTATAATTTATTCTTTGATTTTAGAGAACACAAAATAAGCCCAGACACTGTTCAAGTTGGGAGTTTCTTTCTTCTATATCACTTTATGTAAGGAATCTTTCCAAACTGGTCCACAAATATGTCAATTTTATTACTATCTACACATAGAAGGGCTATTCTAGTGTTAAGGATTCTGTACCTGCAAATCCATTACAGCATAGTTCTTATAATAGAGTTTATAATCTAATTCAATAACATCTGCATGTAGAAAAATACTACACACAAAATTAATGGTAATAATTTCTTTGAATTAAAGAACCAAAAGCATACATACCCTCCTGATATGATAAATTTAATTCTGATTCTTATTCCTGGTTCAAGTGAACACAAATGCAAAAAAACTCCTATGTAGGGACTTAGTGTCTTGGGTATCTCGGGAAGAAACAACAGCAGGAATGAGGAAAAGACAGACAAGAAGACAAGAGCTAGGTTCAGGTGGAGGTCTGTTTGCCTGACTGGCAAAGGACCCCAAGAACAACAGGGGCCTTTATTTCTTTCTTTGCAAAGTTAGTATCATGCGACATAAGATTGCCTAGTAACTAATAGCTGACAGTGACCAGATAAAATGTTTCAAGACTGGGGTAGTTTAGGGCCCACCATATAGCTCAGCAGATTAAAGCACCTGCAAGCAGGCACAGGGGCCAGGGGTTCGATCCCCTTTCCTGCTGTGCTGGCTCCACCCCCAGGGCAATACAGACTGGGCATGGTGGTACATGCCTATAATCCCAGCTTTTGGGAGACCGTAAACAGGTGCATCACTAAGAGTCCATCTAGTAGTGAGACCCTGAACACCTTGTAGAACCTTTCCTAAAATAAAAAAAAAAGACTGAGGTAGCTTGACTGTTTTGAAGACTGTGGCTTTGTCCTGCCATCACATATGGCTAATAACTATGCTTGTTTGTAAAATAGCAAAACTTTTTTAGACTGATTTTATTTAATTTAGTTTAGAATGTTTTTTTTTAATTTAGGACTGTAAAACATACACTCAGACTTATTAGAAATTGAAATAATTTTAACTAATCTTCTTAAATATCCCCGTTATTAGAAATCTTAGGAAATACAATTTTTTTAAGGCATACTGTTTATATCTTTAGGATGGAAACAGCCTCTTAAAATTAATCACCTTCAAGGGACAATGTAAAAGCTTCCCTTTAGTGTCAGTTGTAATGGAGCCTCTCAGCAAGGCTCTTCCTGGTGGAATGGCCCTTTGTATCCCTCCAGGTTAGCAATCTGGCACCTTTGTTCCTGCAAACCTGTAGCTGCCCTACCTTGAAAGCCCTTTAGTTTTATTTTTCCTTAACTAATTTCAATTATTTCAGTCCAATATATCCTTCTATTATTATTTATAGCTTTTAAAGTTTTGCCAAAGAATGTCCAATTTGAGCCATACAAGAGACTGGTATGATTTAAGTAACGGTTTGGGTATTTTGAATTATGTCTTTGATTTCCCCTGTATAGTCAGCATTGATGACACCAGGCTAAACCTGGAGACCTCTTTGTATTGTGTCTCTGCCTCTGGTTGCCACTTTTTCTCTGTCCCCTTGGGGCTAGTGGAACTGCTAGTACTGGGAATAGGCTACCTTGCCCACATTTTTGCTCCCCAAAAGACACAAGGGCTATGGCCCTGTAGCCCCAGGCACCTTGGGTAGTCACTGTGTGCCAGCTGTTGCTCAGATTTTAAACACTGAATGTTTTGTTTTTGCCCAAATTTTAAATGTAAACCATATTTTGAGGTGGACTAATTTATGGTAAACCTACCTATCTTGTACCCTTCCCCACAGTGGCACCACTGTACTATTTGGAACCAACTTACCACAATTTAAAAGATTTTTTTTCCTTTATTATCTCGCTGAGCAAAGCTAGATGATTTTTTTTGCTTTTTATATACCTTATTTACATATCCTTTTCTTTTTTAAATATTTTTTCCATAATTTTATTGAGAAATAGCAATGAGACAGTTGCAAATCAAATAGGTAGGACAGTTCCAACAATTAACACATTCCATACTGCCTTCCTAGTCGTTATTTATTTTACAAGATGCAGACATGATATCCTATTTACAGACACTATTAGAATAAATCCCTGTATTCCTTGAATTAAGAGAATGTAGCTATATATCTATCCTATTTTGAATACACAGATACAAAATGGTCATTCATCTATATCCCCTTTTCTTGTTTAGTTCCATCATTTAAATATTATAGGTGTGTGAACTCAGCAAAATATTCCAAAATAGTCTAGTAGTCCATAATAGTACTGGGTCTTCCACTTGACTGGCGATGCCAGAAGTTGTTGACCTGAGTCCCCTACAACTCAACATAACAACATGGCTTTACTTCTTGTACTTCATTTTTATACTTTTCTGCTGGATGGTTAAGAGCAAGAAGAGTTGTAGCTTTTGTATCTGATAAGCTCAGTGAAATCCCCTCAGGATTTATCCTGAGACCCTTTACCTCAGGTTGTAGATTCTTTGTCAGTGTCAGCCATGTGGATGAGTCACAGCCATTGCTTGGCCAATTTGCTCTCTGTGAAAGCTTGAGAGAATGTTTTCTCTCCATGTGACTCTCCTGAGGCACACTATACATCATCGATCACATTCTTCTTTGGCCCCATAATCTCCTTGATCAGAAAATTTGGGACACTACTGAGTTACGTGATGTTACAGTATAGGTTCTCTTATGTCCTGAGTCTTAATTGACCTTGGAAGGCTAGGGCCAAAATGTTGGCTTCCTTTTTCTCTAATATTGGTCTGCAAACTTAGGTTATTAACCCTCCAGAAGAGAAGCTTATTGTTATTACCATAGAACCTAGGCTGTTGAGCTTAACCTCACTATCTGTCTTAATATCAAACATCTTAGGCATAACATGGAACATGTATTTTTCATAAAGTAAACTGTATCTGCTGTGCCTTTGTTTCAGCCTCCTTGTCCCATGCAGGTTTGGGACTTGATTTTAGAGAAGCACTCTGAGTTAAATCTTTGGTGGTTGTAAAACTCTTTCTAACCAGAGTCCATAAAGGACAAGTACATACAGGAATTAAACATGCCAAAACTACTTCTACATACATATACCTCTGAGATTCTTGAAACTATTCATCTCATTTTTAACTCACTATAACTTTCTCCTTCTGGCTTCTCTCAAACCTGTTTTTCTCATTAAGCTCATTTTTTTCTCTTGCCATAGTTAACTCATTTCTGGCCCTAGTGAACCAGTTTCTGGCCTAATGAGCAGCTTTCTGGCCCTCATGAGCCTCCATCCCCAAGTCTTATATCTGATATGCCAGTACCAGTACACGCCTGTGCTGAATACTGGCTCTAACCAGTTAGCTTCCATTCTCTGTTGTGTGCCCTTGGGAAGCCTTCCTGCTGCCCCCCCCCTTCTCTTACTTGGTGTCCTGCTGGGGCACAAAATGTAGGGACTCACTGGTGTCTTGGGTACTCCAAAGAGAAACAATGGCAGAAGTGAGGAAAGATAGACAAGAAGACAAAAGCTGGGTTCAGGTGGAGGTCTGTTTGCCTGACTGGCAAAGGACCCCAAGAATAACAGTAAGGTTGTTCATTTATACCCCTTCAAAGTTAGTATTATGTGACTGAAGTTTGCCTAGTGACTAGTAGCTGACATTAACCAGGCAGGATGCTTTTTGCCAAGACTGCGGTAGCTTGACTGCTTTAGGCACTGAGGCCTAATCACACATTTGACCAATTTCCAGCTTCAGTGGCTCCCATCATTCTTATATTCATTTCAAGGACCATTTTTCTCCTCTGACCTCAACACAGATAAAGAAAGGACAAACCAGATTATCTGTTACCTTTAGACAGCTGAGGTAGATGGAAATATTATAGGCAGCCAGGCAGGGCTAGTTCCTCCGAGGACCCAGTATTAAAGACAAAATGCCTTTCAACTGTGGGAGGGACAGACACTCCTGTGGTGGGCCAGATCTCAAGACAAAAGATTAAATGTAGCCACATAGCTTCCTAGGGATAGA